TTGTCAAAACTAAATGCCCGGGTTGTAAGCGGTGTTATAGGCGTTAGTGGAGATTTGGGATCTATTTATAATTAAGTATTCAAGTATTTTTATTTCATAAATTTTTTCATGTTATTTACCTCTCCAGGCACGGTTATAGCGATCCATGGAAGCCTTTTAAATAATTTTCTCAAAACTCTCAGCGCAAGCAGCGAAACGTGCATTACAATAGGAACTGTAAATCACATGCATGAGCATGTATATACATATGTGTATGTGAACACATGTATGTATTTACCATATTCATATTTGCATTCTTGCATATATGCGAAGTATTGCAGTCTGGCAGCTTTTTTGATAGTTGGCAACGCTGCGTTAACTTTGAATATAAACGTCGGTGTGTGTGCAAAATTGTGGACTGCACCCTTTTGAAATCAGAAACTATAAATTAATTTTTATTGATATATTAATGCGATCTATCAAAGTCATCGTAAACTAAAATAAATATTTTCGATATTTCATAAGGCAATATTTGTGGAGAGAGGAGAGGAAAGGAAATTTCAATATAAATTATTATTCATAATAAAAAATATCCTTCCGTTCGCCCACTAACTGTGTAAGCCAAACTTAGAAAACAATTAAAGCTGGGAATTTTAAAGAAATCTTTTAAAATTTAAAAATCAAAATACCAGGGACCGTAACGATTATAATTTTTATAGCAAACAAGTAAGAACGTTGCAGTCGGGCGATACCGATTGCAGAATACTCATTCACAGCCCAAACGCTGTCAACCAGAGTATATAGTGCAATTTTCAATCAGGGCATGATAGCATTAAAATTGGAAAATCATCGATAGATATTGCTATCATCATTGCATCATTGCATTCAAATTACATATATAATTTATACAATTTTGATTTTTATTATATATTTATATCCATATATTGGATATCGGTTTCAAGCTAACATCAGATCAGCGCGATTTTCCTATACATGTGCACACACCCTTCTTTGCGTACAGACAGAAGCGCGCCTTTTCTCACATTCTTAGAATTTCGATTGATTACTGGACTTTCTAGCCGTTACTGTAGTTTTATCTGTTGACGCTCTCTTATTAAGCTATTCTATTTTAGCTACTGGCTGGTAAAGCAAAGCAGTGGCGCGGGTGCTAAGGGCGACGCAAATTATGTTAGAGTAGGGGGGGTTCGAGCCTCTTCGATGTTTTTTTTTTTTTTTTTCATACATATTTCGTTTTTTATAAAATAGATATTTTATTGGGAAGGCGCGAGCTTGAAATAATGGCACTTAATACTTTTCTTTTTGTTAGTCGAATAATTTTATAAGCTTAAATTTGTTTCTTCTCAAATAGCCCTCAAATACATATACGCAAATACATACATATGTATATATGTAAGTCTGCACGCATAGCATCAAGCATTCCAGCCTTAAACACGCGCTCATTTGTATGTGTGTTTGTATGTACACATAAATGCGTACTCTAGCATATTCGAAGAATCTCGTTGCGATTGATTTGTCTTTGCATTGTTTTTGAATTTCCAGCCGCTACACTGGCTTTTATTTGCTATATGGCGTCATAACAATAATGTGATTTCGTTTTAACTATTGTTGTTCAAAACGACGCGGTGGTGCTGTAGGCAGAAGCGCAGGCGATTTTTATTTTAGCTATTTGGCTTGGGTGCGAGTTCAAATCCCGTGGAAAACACATTTTTGTAAATTGCAAATTTTTGTTATTTTAGCTTCTTTTATATTTTTTTTATAAAAAATGTTTCTTTCCGTATTATGAATATCTATTAAGCTTATTTATATGTACAAATACATAAATAGATGGCTGACGCATATAAATGGCGCGATTCGGGCACTATAAATGCCGATTGCCACGTCCCTAGTGGCCGTAGACTCCTCAACCGGTAACCTAAATGCAAAATTTGAATTCTTACGCTCAAAAAATGTGTAAATTACAGGGTATTTTTCGATATGTTGCGCCCCTAAAGAGATAAAAATTAATTAGTTTTAGGTAATCGAAAGCGGAGGCTACCAGTAACTCAACTCAGCTTACGTGCAAAATTTCAGCATTTTAGTTTTATAACTTTAGGAGATACAGTTCTATCCGATTTGCAACGCCCCCAATGGGCGGAGATATGTATATCCGCCATAGCTCGTGATCTTGGGTGGTCGACGCGGAACTACATACCAAATTTCAGCTTTCTAGCTCTTCAACATCGGGAAATGCATTTTCCGATTTGCCATGCCCCTAGTGGGCGGATCGGGAACATTTTAACACTTTATAATCGGTGATATACACGAGTATGTGTTCCAAATTTCAAGTCTCTAGCTTCAATAGCGCCAAAATAGATTGCGTACATACGGACAGACGGACGGACGGACAGACGGACGGACAGCAAGACGGACATTGCACAAAACCAATATATTCATTTCACTTTTGTGAATGAGTCTAAAAATTAAAAAGTAAGAATTATTTTTTGAGTTATTAAAAAAAAAAAGATTTTTAATCATTATAAATAATTTATATGATAAAAATAAAAAATAATTATTACAGATCAATTTTTATATAAAAATCAAATCATACCTTGTATTACCAATTTTTATAATAAAAATTAAAAATAAGAGTTATGGCGTAACTTTTATTATAAAAATTGAAAATAAAAATTGAATTGAAATATCTCTTGAACTAAAGGAGCTAGGCACTATTAATTTGACTATGTGTGTATATGTACATACTATTAGTAAAAAATATCCTAAAACTTTGAACTCTAGAAAAAAGAACTAAACTAAGTAGGCCGTTTATCCCACTGTGCAACGGCAAGAGCCTAACAGATAATTAAATATATATGTATATATATATGTGCATATACATATACATATTTACATACGTATTATACATCAAATGAAAGGTATTAATGCGTACATCATATATATACATCATCATATACATATATATGATCTAGCTCCATTAATTCAAGAGATATTTCAATTCAATTTTTATTTTAGATTTTTATAATAAAAGTTACGCCATAACTCTTAATTTAATTTTTATTTTATTATAAAAATTGGAAATAAAAGTTATGAATTGATTTTTATATACAAATTGATCTGTAATAATAATTTTTGATTTTTATCACATAAATTATTTATAATAATTAAAAAAAATTTTTTTTACAAAAAATTGGAAATAAAAGTTTATCTTTTTTTTTTTTTTTTTTTTTTTTTTTCGTGATAAAATAACCTATGTGTGATTTTCCCTCTCTTCTTTGGGCTTCTTTAGAGCCTCAATTTTTTAAAATTCATAGCTCTTATTTGCGGTCCCTGCAAAATACAATTATAAAATTTTTTTTGAGTATAGTCTAAAGAATACTCAAAGCTTTCAAAAGCTTTCGAGCAAAACGCTTTCTCAGTTTTTGTAGAACTAACAGCTAAGGTCTCTTAAAAGATCCACTGACGCGTAAATGAACAACAGATGGCGCGCTGCACAGTGTACAAAGAACTCGTTCGCATGCTAAGAACTTTTGGCTTGTAAATTTGATTGTATCTCAAACGAAACCTGTTTTTTGTATATATACATACATATACATATATTCATGTGAATTGGGTGTACTAGGTAATACCTAAAGTACAACATTTCTATTGATCCACTACAATAAATGGAGACACTAATGTATTTTGTACTTATATCTGTTATTATTGTCAATTGTACATTAATAAAATTTGGAAATTATAGTTCAATAAACTCGAAACAAAACAAAATTTCTAAATTGTTAAAAAGAGACTTGTCTTTTAAGATCAGGACTTTTGAATATTTAGTATCTAATTAAAGCGAGTTTGACGAGTTTTTTTGTTTGTTTGTTTTATTTTTTTTTATTTTTTTATTCTCAGTTTAGATACTGCGCACAAAGCTGTTGCGAAAACCGCGTATGTAGATGTGTGACTACTCAGAATGAAAGAATATACATATACGGGTGTATTCATTTATATGATTGCTGAAGTTACATATTTCTGTTGGTATGGAAATCAAAGAACAAAATAACTATTCTGTATTCTAGGCTGTTTTCCAATGGTCTCCTGTATTTTATTTGCTTGACAAGAATTTCTAGATTACCGCTAACTATTAGAAATTAAATTAGATATAAATTAAGTTAGTCATATATCAAGCTTTAAATTTGATAGAATATCGTAATTCTCTAAAAATATTAATATGATATGATCTTTCAAGAACCTCACTAAATATGTAGTGATAAAAGTACAAAGGAGAAGAATGTTAAAGTCAGGCAACTTTTAATGTTATGGGCTTAACTGATTTACATTAAATTTTACATTTACGCTATTGTAGACTTATTCTATGGACTAATGAAAAATGATATATCCGCGCTTACCTTGTAAGCGTAAGTCAGTATATTTTATAGTGCTGCAGCTGGAAACTCTAGGTTCTTCTATTGGTCTACCAAAAACTATTAGTAGGTGTTAAATAGGAATCGTTTGGAAAGTGAATCCCTACCTACCTAGCTACCAATGAATGAAGTCAATAAATCGCCTTATTATAGTCAATAATTATTATTTAATGTTTATTTTAATGTATTACTGTTCAAGCCTTGCTTTGAATTTCATGTAGTTTGTCAGCTCTGAACATTAGTCAGCGATGCTGAGCTGTATTTCTTTTTTCGTCCACTATAGCCGACTTCAATGTTTGCGATGCTCGGCGGGCCGCGGCGGCCGCCTAATTCACCAGCCATTTGAGCTGAGCGTGCAGGTTGGGCGCTTGTTGTTGCCGGCTTTTTAGTTTTGGCTAGCGAAACAGCTGAGAGACCAGAAGCAGCTGCTTTGTGTTTATATTTGTTATTGAGAACTATGCAGCTCATGCGCATTGAGTTGGACACGAAGCTGAGCTTCGGCTTCGGCTTCGGCTTCGGCTTTGGCGTCGGCTGCCCCCACAGGGCGGCTATAAAATTGTGGCTTGGCGCTTTGGCGACTCAGTTGTCTAACGGAGTTCAAACCAGCTGGGCAGAAAAGTTCTGGCGAGCTTTTTGGCAGCAAAGCTGCAGCCGTTTCACTGAGAAAACTTGTAGTTTAACTGATTATTTTTTAGCGAAATTCGTTCGAGCTAACGCAAAACATAAACAAGTCCGCTGCTTGCTTCCCAATCGCAGTGCGAATGTAAATGAGTATTTCGAGTATTTCGTGCCGTTGTGTTATGCTGAAGTGCAAAAAAGCGCCATAAATAATAATAATAATAATAATCGAAGTAAAAGCAAAGCGTAAAATAATAAAAACCACTTCAATATATCAACAGGCAATTGCCATTGATTAACCATTCTAAAAGTTTGCAAAGCACACAGAAAAATTGCAAAAAGTCAGTGAAGTGTTAAAAAACAACAATAAATATTTGTAAATGCATACATTTAAATGTGCATGATTGTTTATACCTACATACACACACACATACGTACATAGCACTTGCGAAATAAATTGCTACGCTTGAACAAAAGAACTGAGGTATGCTTCTTTTATTTTTTTTTTGTTTAGTTGCTCATGCAAATTAAATTAAGCAATTAAATAAAATATACAATATTATAGAAAGAATAAAATTTTGGTGCTTCGCAAGTTAGATTTTTCGACGTTTATTTTGGCGATTACGAAAATGAAAATTTACCACATCTCATTCTTTCGATAATTGTCATTTAACAGACAAATGAAAATGCTCTTTCGCAGCAGAAAAAAAAAAATAAATAAATAAAAAAAATAAATAAATTGAGTTGTAATATATCTTTAATCTCTTGTGAATTCTTTCTAGAAATATTATCCAAATGTGTATAGTTGCTTACATATTTGTAAGAGTTAGACACACAGTGCCCATACATATAATTGAACAACAACAAAAAAAAAAAAAAAAAAAAACCTCAACAATCACAGTTCAATTTTATGTAGGCCTTCAAACGATATACAATGGGAACGTACTTGTAGCTACAGCTATTGCTGCTACTGTAGCCTGGTCTTAGTTCAAGGAAAAATATTAGAGAAATCTCAAAAAAAAGCAGACAACTGACAGTAGAGTGTGACCACTATTTTGCTTCTTAATTTTTGCTTGTACAAAGTTTTTGTATTCACATTCATTAGCTCAAAAATGTTTTGTGCATGCTAATTGTTGGGGGCACACCGACAATTACATACTCTCGCGAATTTGTTAGGCCAATTTGATCTTGAGCCAAAGTATTGAGTAAATATATGATCATACATATATCTAACATTTTCACTAACTTTTCAGTATTATTTGTAGTTCATTTGTTTTTAAATAAAATAAATAATTTATATAATATAGTATATTATTTGTTTGAATTACTCTATTTTGCATATTCATATATTCCTATATTCCATAAGCAGTATCAGTATATCATTTTTGCGATAGCTCATTATATTTCCTTACTATATTAAATATACATTATATTACATTATGTATCTAGAAGAAAATCTATTCAACAATTGAGTCACACAGTGCGTGTGTATAAATGTGTATATGTGTGTGTATATGGTGTGTGCTGTAAGTATTAACGTGGAATGATTGAAATATCAGTTGATCGCAGGGTTCACGGTATCTCCTAGTCGGATTGTCCCGAAAAAGGAACTATTGTATTTTTCTTGCTTTAAGACTAAGCTGAACAATTTGAAAGAAAAGATTATTTATAAGACATAATGTATATTCATATACATATATAGTATAGTTTAGCAAATAGTTTCTATATATAATATCATTCAATATATCTATATATCTGTCAATATATGTATATGTTTCTATTAGGCCAGACTGTTTTAGCACTGATTGCAGTTACAGCTCCAAGTTGTTGATTATAGCAAAGTGAGGCAAACGTTGATTGGGTCACATGGCACGGAAATGCACTGAATTTGCAGGAAACATAAAGAATGTGACAAATTTACGATGAAGTTAGATACTGTAAAACTCGCCTTATTTAAGTAAAGCTAGAATTCTCTGTGAGAGCTTTGGGATCACTGATTTCGATTTCGATTTGGTTTTTAAAGCGAATTTCAATCGCAATTGAGACAAAGGAAATATATATAAAATCAAAAGAAGTGAATAAGCGAACTTCGCCGAGCTTTCTCAATATATCGTTCACATACTTTACTGACCTTCTTTCAAAATAAAATATTTACATGTCTGATGCTGCCTGCAAAAAATCGTTTGAGTGTCTATTCCTTTGTCATAAATTGAAAAACTTTGTTGTTATTTATGACAAACACATTTTCAGAAATAAGTCTAATTATCTTTTTAAGTTTAAGTTTGTGTATATACAATATATATATAGTACATATACTTAAATACTTGAAGCGTTAAAACAACACTCCAACAATTTCCGTTTCGACGAAATCGATTACTATCGATTTTCTTTGTGTGATATTTATAGAATATCGATAATAATAATCGATTTCGTCGGAACGGAAATGGTTTGAGTGTTGTTTTAATGCTATCATGTGAAAGACATACTCTTCAAGTTAAGTTGGTCTTAATTTAGTTATCGGGCTTTACACCAAAATGTTTTAACAGTCGGATATACAGGGCACTAGACGCATATTTATACAAACATATATGTATGTGTGCGTGTGGATTATGAGACTTGAGTTTTATTTACAAAAATTAAACAAGTGACTTGGGATTGATTGACTGATCACTGTAAACTGTTACAGCTATCTCAAAATTATCCTCTTTTAGAGATGGAGTCGGTTACTGCGAGATATAAAACAGTATATATAAAATTAGGTTTTATAATAGATTTGATATTCTGCAGATATCATACATTCCATAGTGAGACGTTATATTTTAACGATATAGGACTAAGGTATTTATTTCTACATTGAGGCGTAAAATGTTGCATAAGTGTATGTTGCGGTCTATTAACTTGGAGCAGACTCTCTCGCGGGTCATTAAAAACAATCGGTCATTCCGTGGGGTAACAAAAATTAATGGCATGGCCTGAAATGTGGGTTAACAAATCGGCTTTTGGGGCGTCAAAGTGTTTGCCACAAATGACATTTTTTTGCGCGCGCGGATGCTGAGCTCATCTAATGCATTCTTTGCAGTTGCAGTTGCAACTTTTACCCTGGGGAGTCAGTACCATGTTGCAATTATTATTTCCTGCTCGCAGCGAAACATAAAATGAGCAGGAAGTAACACGCGCCAAACTCTACGGCCATGTAAAAAATGAGGTTCGCTAAGGCTCAACCGGGCCCAGCCCAACCCAGAGCCATCATCTGCCCCAAAAAGTGTTTCAGTGTAGCCAGCAGCAGAGTTTCCGCTTTTGTTTGTGCGCGACGCATAATTTGCGGGACAAACATGCAAAAATGCCAGCAGTCAAAGCCCACATGTATACATGTACACTTGTATGCATGCATGCATACATCCTCACATGCATACAAGCACACAAGCACACATGCAGTGCACATTTATGTAGACACATTGGCGCACAGCCCCTATCCCCTTCAGTAAATGTTGAAGTGCAAAGTGGAGCTGCGGCCAGGAGGGAGGCGTATGCGCTTCAAGACGTACAGTTTATCTTGACTTGGGCGTCCGCTGTACCCATTCCAGCGGAAGAGCAGCTACGCCGGGACTCCGGAATGGGATTGGAATAGGGCGTATGAGGATTGCACACTTCACAGCGAACATTTGTGTGTTGTCGGCTAGTGTGAATGTTTTAGGCGTTGCTCTGGCTTGTTTATGATTATAAGTTTATGCTCGAAATGAAATTTTGCTAAAAGCCGTTGCCTTTGCGACTTTTGGCCACGGATATAAGTACGAAAAACAATGCTGTATTCCACACCTTCCACACGACTAGTTGATAGTCGGTTTGCACAGAAAGCACAAAAAGCGAGCACCTGCACATCTAATCTAATAATGTATGTATATATTTTACGCCAGTTACATACTTACACTTGTAGAGCAACATATTTCATTATTCTTAACTGCAAATGGGCTTATATCACAGTATTACAGCAGACACTCTTGCGTTTTATTCAAATCCTTAAAGTTGTCCAACATCGTTTACCGTATTTAACTGTAAAATTTAGAAATACATTAAAATTCAAATTCATTTAAATTCAAATTCAAATCTAAGTTGTACTCCCATTGCATTTTCAAATATCAGTTATTATATTTGGGCGTCACTTGAAAGCCATAAAGCTGAAAAGGACTATGATTTTATCTGATATACGCATTACAACCCTGTAGTAATTAATCTATACGATTCCTATTGTGGGGGAGTGTATGTGATTTTAAATACGAAGAGTTCGGGGTATCTTCTAGTCGGACAATTTCGTGCAATTCATATTTACTCGTATTTATATCCCATCCATAGAGCGGACAGATTTTAATCTATAAAAAGGAATACGTCTTAAAGATTGTTTCAACATGTATTATTATAGAAATATATATTATGTATATATACATACATATATGTTTAATTAAACCCTGAATTTTATTCAAAGTTTCAAAGCATTCTACTTTGTAATCACGTGAATTGAAAAAATTTAACTTTCATTAAATTTCATTTTATTTTATTTTGTCATTTCATAAGCACATTGAAAATATTTCGGGTAGGGCGGATGGGGTTTTTTTAAGGTATTACTAAATGTATAAGAGCACTACAATTCTTGATTAAAAATGAGGTAAAAAATGCACAAATTTTATGCAGTGTTTTGCGTTTGTTGCTACATCTACTCGAATTTATTTCCAATCGATAATTATCGATTTACCCTCTTAAATAAAGTGACAGACAAATATAATTTTCCGTTAAAGATCTTCAACAGTAGCACCCAAGAATAACTACATTCAGACTGTATATTACCTTCCATTAAATGTTTATATTTCAAGCTCCCATTTTTAAACATAAAAACTCATGTGCATTATGACTCAAAGTACAGGAATTCATCTAAGTCGTCGTCCAGAAATCCAGCATTGGCTATGCAGCTGTGGATAATATACGCTCGAGGAGCAGAAATGAAAATGGTACGTTGTGAGAGTAATTTGAAAATTAAAATGAAATAAAAGCTAAGTAAAAACTTACATAGTTTGAGACGTCAAAAGACGACGACCAGTCATCCGCAGTTTCCAATTGAAATGTGCAAAGTATTCTCGCTATCAATTTAATCAATACGAGTTCATTTTAATTTCCTCATTATTTGCTAGCTAAAGTAATTCGAGTCATTCAACTAGTATATTTTGCAGTTCCTTACATATTGTATATATTTTTGAAATAAACAAAAATATATTTGTACACATGATTCCTTTGGTCTGTTTCTTTAAGAAAGTTCCTTAAGTATTTAAAAGCTGCTTAATCTGTTTCTGCAATAAGTTCTCTGATGTAAATTTCTTAGGGATTTTTCGAGGAGGTCGACGTCAACGCGGGACAAACCAAATATGAGGCGAGAAATCAGTATATCACTTGTGACTATGCTTGGCACTATAATACTCTACACATTCATACTCTTCCACAAATCAATGTTGTCTGTCTGACATTAAGATGCTTATTTCAACCATATCTCATTTGGTTCATTGTAAATACAGTGCTTGTCATAATTATAGCCCCCCCTACCAACTTAAACTTTGAACCAATTTTAACAAAATTTTTAAGGTTTTTCAAAAATAAATTTTACAGTATTTTTTGGACAGGGGCATGTTTTGTAGAATTTACAGAAATTTGTGTTCCATTTATAGAAAGCTAAGAAAGAACTGTTAACTTTTTCCGTTTGCCAGCATTTTTGCTTGAATTTTTATACCCTGAAAATATTCTTGATCAGGGTGACGAGCTGAGTCGATTTGGCCCTGTCCGTCTGTCTGTCCGCCCGTCTGTCCGTATGTATGAACGCGTCGATTTCAGAAGATATAAGAGCTAGAGACTTCAATTTTTTTTTAAATATCCGTATTTACAGCGCGGATATCGACTTTATCATTAAAAATCGATAACTCATCCCGATCTTTTTTTTATCGATAAAAACCCTTATCAAAATCAGTTATAAAATTATATCTCCTATCTCCTATCTTTAGAGCTACAGTCTTTAAGATTCTAGGAGATACAAATGTGTTCAAAATTTCAAGTCTCTATAGCGCTGAAATAAACGCCGTTTATACGAATAGACGGACAGACAGCAAGACGGACGTTGCACAAAACCAATATACTCATTTCACTTTCGTGAATGAGTATAAAAATTATAGTTACAGGCTACCCGGGGCAAATTAAAAAAACATCGTTTGTCCAGACTTCCTTTTTCCATTGCTACTGTTTCGCTTTTTATTGGGTAGGTAAAGGTATATTCTGACACATATTTCACTTACATCGAATTTTATACACTCTATGCCCAAAGGGGTCGAACATAATAAATGATTTCGATTTGCTATCAATGCGATGTTATTGATATTATTATTATTGTCGGATATTCCTGCAGATTAGATAATTTTGTGGAGTGCAGCGTATTCCTGCACTGTTGCCCTTCTTCCTCTTGCTAATCAACTGTCTGATTTGTTCACTAGCACGTTCGATTACGGCCATCGCAACCAACTGGCAGCCTCGTCAGGACCACACTCGACATTAGTGTTAACTAACATCTCACTCAATCAATATTACCCAATACTATGCATTAACCGACATATCGATAAGATATTTTATTCGAATAATACTACCATCTCCGACATATGTATGCTGATTCTTTATTATTATGTTTTGTTCATTTTGAATTAACGAAACATATTTATGTTATTTGGTATATTATATATTAAGTTAAACTCTAATTATCAATATGTCAATGTATAATCGTTGAACTGTAGAGTAATGTAAAAAATCATATTCCTGATGATAAATAACAAGTAAACAGCGAAAAGCTTGCCTTACATCCAGAGCTCCAGTAGCCAAATATATGAACCAGAATTTCGCACTGCTTAGCGCTGAATTAGCTTCGCTAAAATAGATAACTTATCACAACAGGAGGGACAGGCAAATTACCTGCTTAAGGCGAATTTAAGCAAACATGATGCCCAGTCGATATTCTATATCACGCTGCACAAGAAACAAAACATTCGACTAAAATTATACCCCAAAGCGAATTGCATAGGCGTCTCGCTCCTATTTCTCACCGCTCCCGCTCAACCAGTCCTGCTTTATCGTGGACTGAACAGGGCCGTAAAGTCCTGGCAACAACGGACAATTTATAGACAAAGTTTAGCATGGCTACAGAGCAGCCTGCTTTGCGAAAACCTTTCTTGAATACACAAATATAATATTCATAAATTTAATACGAACAAACACTTTTCGCATATTTCGTTCGCCTAAGTTTCTCTATGGCTCGGCTGGTTTTGCTCTACTCTGCTATCACGTTTATCGCGGAGGTGACGTCAAGTACGACTCTTAGAAAATGTTTTGGATTTTTGTTTGGTTTCAGTTTGCATTCTGTTTTTCGTTTGTGGTTCTGTTGGCTGAAAGAATAGTAAAATAAATAATTCATAATGCAAATAGGCCAAAAACAGAGGAGCACTGATGTTAAGGCAACCAGGAAATAAGTACGATTTGGCAAACGTGGAACAAGAACAGCAATATCATGAATATGCCAAATACTATGTGCATCGTTTTGTTTGCGAACATTCTTATAAACTGAGAAACTCTGTTCCATTTTAGATCAAAGGATTCAAGTAACTTCTAACCAGCATCGAATCCATCGTGTATAATGGGCGGCTAAAATAAAATATGAAAACATATATTTTAAAATATAATATTTAATCCGACTTAATATTAAAGTTGTGGTATACGAGTATATAGGATGGCACGATTACTCATTGTCCTTTTAAATGGACATACTAGGTATGTGGCAAACTTAATGTTTTATCTGATAACAATCAAATATACTTATATTCCAAATTTCTCTCATAGTAAAAACAGTTTAGTGGTAGCTCCTTGAAAAAGCATATAAAACAAGGAAGAAAGCACTTGTCGAGACTGCTCGACTAGGAGGTACTCTGAACCCTCTAGCTGATATTCTACTCATTCTGCACTTCTTTTATACACACATGCATACACATGCATCCACATGCACGTATAATCACGCCTCAGCTCGTCATCCTGATCAAGAATATATATACTTTATGGGGTCTGCGATGATTCCTTCTACCCGTTACATACTTTTCCCCAAAACATTATACCCTGATTTTCCATTTTCAATGGGTTCAGGGTATAACATGTAAGAATGCTCTAGTCGAGACTGCTCGACTACGAGATCCCTTGAACTCTTCGAGCAATAGCTATTTCAATCATTTTTCGCGTCTTTCTGCTTACACAAGAAACACGATAAGGTTTTTTATCGATAGTAAAAATAACGGGATGAGTTGTCGATTTTTGGTGATAAACTCATTTTTAAGACATTTTAAACAAAAATTGAAGTCTCTAGCTCTGTATCTTCTGAAATCGACGCGTTCATACATGCGGACAAAAGGAAAGACAGATGGACGCCCTGATCAAGAATATGTATACTTTGTGGGGTCTGCCACGCCTCCTTCTTCCTGTTACATACATTTCAACAAAACCATTATAATCTGATTTCCCATTTTAATAAATAAGAAGGTAATATATGTAGCAATAAGTTAATGTTAATCCAATCGAATGTACAAAAATATAGACTATAAATTTAATTGAATAGTAAATAAATCAGAATTCACCAAAATGTCTTTATTAGTTATTGTAAAACAAATTTTTCATTATTTTCTAATTTATAATTGGATTAAAAGGACCAGATTCAATATGCCATACCTTTAAAGCTACATTTTATGTGAGCAATAGTTATGTTTGAAATTTCACCCATTTGAGACACTCAGTTATAGTGCATTAAAAGGGTAAGCTGTTAGTGTGTGGTTCGAAAATAAAATAATCAAGAGTAGTGGTACGAAAGTAGTGGGAAGAGGAATAAGCGTAATCGCTGAGCAACAGACAACATGGCAAAAATGCAAGCAAATCGGATTAAGAGAGCTCAGGGGTAAAGCAACTGGGCAAAGCGTAAAGCCAACCGCTGAACTGTTCTTCTTTCGCTGTAAAACGAGATACACATTGCAAGAAGACGGTGTTTTATAGTTCAACGATGGATTTACGATGTAGCTCGACTTTGAACTACATTTGTCGAGGTTGAATCGACCAAAGCCCCTACTTCTGTCGGTTAACTTTGCAGCGCTATATAGCGGCACTCAAAAATGTCTAGTTTGTTAACAGCTGCTGTGGGACATGGCAGAGGGTGTGGGGGGCTGGCTAGAGCGCTGTTTGCCAGGATGCTGCACTTGCTTGTGCAATAGACCGATGCGGATACGTCGACATAGTGTGAATGCAAAGTTGCAGCTTGGGCGAGAATGGGAGTGGGAGTGGAAGACGAAGGAAGAAAAGGAAGATGAACTACGGAAATCCAACTCCAACATCCCAACTTGCGAGTGCCAGCAAAAGAAAGCGGCCGTTAAACGCCGTAGCTGCAACAAAATTGCAGTGTTCTAAGTCAAGGAAATTACGGATTCAAATTAGCGGCACTCAATCTCCATCTAAGCTCTGCCCACTGTCAGTTAATGCATTTAATGCCAGCCCACTAGACAATTAGGCCCACTTTTATGCATTTTATTCAACTTAGTAGGTGAAATGACCAAGAACGAACTGTTCGCGCAATGCTACATAAGTGGCCAGCCCCATCAATATTTAATCGTTACTTAACTCAAATAGTTTACTTACTGACTGGGCTGCATATTAAAATCCAAACTAGTGCTTTTCAATAGCTGAGTCATCGTCATGATCGTCATCACTTATGCTATCCTCCGAAAATTATTAACCAAGAATCTAGCTATACTTTTTCCATTGTTTTCGCACACAACTTAAAGAAGTGAGTGACATAGATATTCCCGCAATAAGAGGATTTATTCAACAAATAAAGTTCATATTAAAGCCCAGACTGCAACTCAAGCGTTTTTGGGTGGATGTGTGTGCGAGAGTGCGTGTGCTGTTTGTTATCTACCCATAAAAATCCATAGAATGATTAGAATACCAGCTCTTTACAGGGATTAGATGATCTTCACTCTAGTTGAATACATGTACTTTATATATGGTTTAGCATAAGTATTTACAAATTTAAGATTCATAAACAAACATGATTCCCCCACACTTTCAGTTTTTTATGTGGCTTGAGCTTATACTTCAAATTTAATGCACCCTTGGTACATTCATCTTACGCATTCGATTGATCGGTGGCAGTCACACAGAGTTCATATGGAAAATATATAATATGTTATGTATATTTACTGATGTAGATATATAGACTATTTTAAATAAACTTTAAGCATACATATATAGAATGTGTAGATGTAGATATACATATATGCATATCGGGAATTCGACCGGTTTGCTTCAAAGCTATTACACATTTCTTTAAAGTGCACACACAGGTGAGTTTTCACCCTTTGCTGCTCGAACCGAAAAGCTTTGAAAACAAGTTTGAAACAGGCTTGACAGCCACTTGCATGTAGTTTATAAGAAATTCAAGTGAAATAGAATCAATTGAACAAATGTACAGAGCAATCACAGCTTTGTTACAGCGTATACACATTCAATTTGCATGGCGCATCATTTTTCACACCTCACCGAAAATTATCCATGGCTTGCGTATAGCCCGCTGGCGTAACCCGCTTTTGCCGATCGTACCCCTTGCACGTGATGTAGAACTTGAAACAGATACAAGGTCAAGCTCATGCAGCGCCGTAACAAACCAGTTGGCGACTGATCCCAGGCACACAGATATTGCCATTCGAGTGAGTCGAGATATAAATAATACTCAATTCAGCCGTGCACGACGCGTCGCGACGTGTCGGCAGAAACACTTCATAATTCCCATCTGAGCAGCTGAACAGCTGTTTGCCATAGACAGGTCGATGGTTGAGCGAGCCAGCAACGCTTCATGCCTCAGGCCACCAAGCGACTGCGATAGACCCGCCAAATGCTGCATACAGGCGTACCGCAATTATTCGTTTGAATAAAGCGTATTTCGGGTATTTACTAAAATCAAATTGAGCAGCAATCTTCTAGTCGGCTGTGACTGTCAATTACAAGGCGGTGCTACCTTGCTTCTTGAAGAATGCTGCTGCGCATATTTTGATGGCCAAATTTGGAATTTAATATTCTATCTATGTAGAGTGTAGAGTCATATAATGCAGTAGAAAAACCTCTAATAATATCCTGGCGCTAGTGCAATTCTTCTACTAATTTTATGGAGTATACTTAGACTTACTATATGTATATAAGTTATAAAGACATTGTTTAACCTAACATTAATGTAAGTGTTAAGCTTCTAGCTGTTGAGTGATTCGTTATCTAATAGATAATATCTATGTATATCTATCTATCTATATCTATGTACCTAGATAAATGAGACCTCTGTTAATAAGCTGGAAAGTGTTATATGACACATATGAGCGAGTCTACTTAGCAAAGGTTTACTAATTAACTTTCTTCCTCTAGGCTATCCGCATAATACCTTAGTCGGAGTCGCCTCCCCCCAGTGGGTGGCAATATAATCATTAGACCATTGGGGGCATAGGTCAAAATGAAAGGGATCTGCTCTTACTTGAGGAACTGTATGTGTTCTCTCCAGAGTGGACCCTGCTCTATATGAGAGTTATATAAATGGATTGATTTTAAATCAACCGATTGAGTTAATTCCAGTTCCGAGACTATACGGGATCAAGGTACTTTCCATTTTGGTAACTCAAAAGGAGAGGTTAACCCGTCAAGCCGTCAAGCCGAGTTCGCAGCAGTAAAGCCTAATTTAGCAGGTCTTTCTTTATTTTTATTTTGACTCACATCGTGCCTCGAAAAGCTCGCATTTATAAAAGCCAATCTATGCGTGTGAATGTCTGTGTGTGCGTGTGTGTGCGAGCTACACGAATACATACGCAAGCATATGCAAACAAGTGTAACCCACGCTACTTACAAATGCGGCTCTATGTACGTGTGTGCATTTATGTACTTAGGTGTTTGTGTGGACGTGTGGGGATAGCTGACGTGGACAACGTGCGTATTAGTAATTTATATGCTTCGGTCATGTCGTTGGCAGCTTCATGCATTTAGCTCAAAGCTGTTTATCTCCAAATGACAGTTTAGCTTCATTTTGCAACGGCAGCCAGAATGTACATTTCATAATACGCACTCCCCTACACTACATACAACTTTACACCCATACAGCCCCATACAGCCATACACCGATACACTCATACGGCCAGTTGTACATGCCATACATACAGACATATATGTATGTTGTGTACAGTGAAAGCTCGACTAACTGACAACTTCCTTTGGGCGAACATCTCCTTTCAATGGCATGTCTATTCCTTTAGATTCAATATATTTCCTCAGTGCCGCTGTTTTGACAGGCATTTGGCATTATTGTTGTTGTGGTAAATTTTTCATATTTCTACAAAACTGTTTTTGAGGGGGTCGAGTAAGAGTCCTGAAGAATCCATTTATGTCTGCAATAATACCTGAATGCCGTCATCTATCAGACCTTTCACTGTAAATGCCAAGAGAAATGCTTTAATTTATGCGGGAATTATTTAGATTTCTCATCCTTAATGCTGTTAATAGCTTGCAATCAAGCGCATATTTGTCGTTATTGTTGTTCTTGTTGCTCTCAACAAGTGATATGTTAATGCAATTTGCAAACTACTGCGGTCCGTTGACACCCTGTACAGGCAGATAGACGGATGGACAATTACGACTTATTTCCCCACTGAGGACCAACCAAACGATTCTCTTTGCGTTTCCATTCTGTATTCATTCCCATATGCAGTGCTGCTTTCCTTATAAAATATTTAGGTGGTAAATTACACTAATATGTGGCCTGACTGTTTATACATAGCTGAGCAAGAGTGTGGTTTAGCCAACTAGAGTAGTACGCCTGAAAGTTCTGTGGATGGGTATCATCACAATTATATTATGTAGATTGCTCTAATGAATGATCATGAGCGAGAGAGAGAGAGAGAGCGAAAGAGAACGAGAAAGAGATAGAAAAAGAGAAAGTGAAAGAGAAAGAGAAAGAGAAAGAGAAAGAGAAAGAGAAAGAGAAAGAGAGAGGGGAAGGTACTTTTGCTAAGGAGAAATTTCGCATCTGAATTACCATCTTACAATTTAAGACTTTATTCGTATTCATATACATACTTCTTATTCATTTACTTATTAATAGTCCCATTTTATTTGTATTACCATAATCCAAATGTTTATTTGAGAAGGGAAACCGTGAACGAGTCTGAATGACAGACAAACTTTAAACTTATTTTTCTTTTCTCTTTTCCTGATTTCCTTGACCTAGTCAAATATTTTATGAAGACTCTGACAGAGTTGGGTACTCTGACTCTCGCGTATTGCACTACGTTAAGCCTGATTAAAATTAACTACAACGCAAATCTATAAAAATAATATCAATAATAGCATTAATTCAAATGAAAACAGCGACGGCTAAATATATATGTATGTATTCAGTTAAATAAATACCGAATCGTAATTGCAACTTGGTCACACAATTTGTTTACATACATACATATATACATATGCATGAATGTGTATCTGATTTCGCTTTTGCATCAGTCTGAATGCTAACCGTCTTATTTTAATAACATTGCTGTGAATTGAAGAAATAATAACTTATTTTTCGCGAGCAAAACCGGATGATAATTTCTTTGCATGCATTTTTGCAGATACTTCATCAGAAATTCACACAATTTATTACAAAAAATGTATTTTAATCTCACAAATATCTATAATTGTTTCCTTATTGAGCTTTGCGCTTTGTTAAAGAAGGCATCGGCTTAAAAAAAAAAAACAACAAAATAAATATAAATACATAAAATAAAATAGAAAATAGTAGTAATAATAATAAGACTTTGATATTCTGTATGAGACTGATTTTCTAATTAGTTTTGTTAGACGAGCAACTAATGCCTGGAAGTCTAATTGCATCTCTGCTACTAATTATACGTTTGCTTACTAATTTTGTATGTCTGATTGTGTATTCCGCTTGTGTTTATAGAAATAGCAACCGGTTTCGAATACGCCTCTGATCGACCGACGGTGTGACGTAGTACTTATGTACATATATATACTTGTATATATTTATAAAACTCGACTTGTCCCTGAGCTCGTATTTTATTATACTCTGAACCCATTGAAAATGGGAAATTAGGGTATAATGCTTTTGTGAAAAAGTATGTAACGGGTAGAAGGAATCATCGCAGACCCCACAAAGTATATATATTCTTGATCAGCACGACGAGCTGAGTAGATGTAGCCCTGCCCATCTGTATGTCCGTATGAGTGCGTCGATGTCAGAAGTTATGAGCTATAGAGCTGAAATTTGGCATGCATACTCTTGTGTACCATACGCAGTAAAAGTTTATCATATTTTTTCGATAACTCATCCGATAACTTTTTTATCGAGCATAATCGAAAAAATGATTTTGTTTTTTTCAGTCCAATTTGAACACTTTTAGACCTAGAGACTTCGGATTTCCTGTTGATCGATATGAAAATTTTGTAATTTACAGATTTTTGATACCACGCCCCCTTCGCCTCCAATTTGTAAAAAATGTATTTCAAATATTAGAGACTTGTGCTTTGGAATGTACACATTTTAAACATATGATTAAGCTCTTCATTAAGATTGTATGTATACAAAAGAAAATATTCAACAAATAAATTCTCATAATATTGCCCACAGTGTACTGCAGTGCAGCCCAAGCGCAGTCGCTGCTAACTGCGCAGTCAGCAGAGCGCGTAATTAAATGTGCGTGTGGATGCGTGTGTATGCATGTGTGCATAAAAGAAGTGCAGAATGAGTAGAATATAAGCTTGGAGGTTTCAGGGTATCTCCTAGTCGAGCAGTCTCGACTAGAGCCTTCTTAATTGTTTTTCTTTGTGATGAAGCGCTAGCTCGTCATTGAAGCAATATAGGTGTACTCATCCAATTAATTTTAAGTTATCTGTCTCTTACCTTCGTTCCTAAAGAGTATATCGAATAGCGTTTCTGGAAACCAAATGCTACCTGGCGATGCGACAAGCCGCTTAAAATTTGAAATATGTATATTCCTGTAGAACCCTATTAACGATGTGATAAACCACAATAAGAATATTTGTTATTATTTAGTAATTAAAAAATAATTATAATATTTGTGCATGCATTTGGAATTGCTATACCGGAAGTGAATAGCATTCACGATTTACATAGGTTTTCGTTTTTGATTTTGGAGTCTCGGCTGCGCTAAATTCAGAAGTAATAGGGTAAAGGCTAATTGATTTAAATTATGCAATTCAATAAAATGGGACGGAATGCGAGTATGCGATTAGTTTTCAAATACAGATTTATTAAAATATGTGTTACAAACTGGAGAGGCGTAATATAGCCCATAGATTAGATCATGTCTGTCAGTTTGTCCGTCTGTGTGAAAAATTAAATGCATTGTTCATAATTCTATTCTCAATAACTCATGCCATTTTGCCAACTCTTCTCAGTGTTCAGGGCATCTGCTAGTCGGGCGCTCCCCTATACACTCACACATTTCACATATGCATGCAGGCGTACACGTAAAATAAGCATTATGGTATTTAGACAAGTTCTACCAGAGCGTAACAGACGGGCAGTCAACAAAGTTAACAAATAGAAAACCAATTTAACTTCTTGGTTTTTCGTCTATTTTCAAAGTTGGCGTCTGGACTATGTTGTTGTTGCGCGTATGCTTTCACGCCTCGAATTAATCCCATCAGCCCCCGTTGTGGCGAGACTGAGAATTGAATCCTTACAGCGTGCTTGGATTATGCTGTATATTGTATACTTATTATAGAAACCTCACACTATTTGCATAGGACCCAGTCCTATCCCCTGCCGAGTAAGTAATTTATATATATGTATATATAATGTTCCCATTTCTATTTGCAAATCTTTAATTTTGAAAAATTGTTGTTACCTATATGTAGTATGTGATAAGTTCAATTTACCTGCGAAACCTAAAAAGGAATTTAGTTTAATGATTATTAGGAGCTAAGAGATGGTTATTTTACTTCGAGCTGAAAGTTTCTAACCACATGCAAAAATTAAAATTAATTAATTAAGAATAGAAGAGCCCCAGCATGCAATGGAAACCATATTTATTAATCTATTATTTGTCTTCAATCCCATACTTGTTATCTTTGTTATTAATAATCAAGTGCAGACGAAAAACAAGTAAGAAAGCCCTAGTCGAGACTGCTCGACTACGAGATCCCCTGAACCCTTCGAGCAATAGCTATTTCAATAATTTTTCGCGTCTTTCTACTTACACAAGATACATACACACACACGCACACATACACACACACGCATACGCACATAAGCACACACGCCTAAACATGCATGGGCTGCAGTCTGCGCTTTCTTGAGAACTTAATTGTTTAATAACTTTTCTTGTGGAAATACGATCTTCATGAAACTTTCAAATTATGAAAATAACACGGATATACATGTATTTGCCAAAGCACAAGTCTCTAGTATTTGAAATACGCCTTTTACAAATATGTGAGGGAGGGGGTGGATATAGGGGTGGGGGGTCAATTTAAAAAAAAAACGAAATTGTATAAATTGCATGTAAATCTACATTAAAAATTTGGAGACTTTAGCTTTAAAGTTGTAGGGTATAATGGTTTTGTGAAAAGTATGTAACAGGCAGAAGAAATCATCGCAGACCCCATAACGTATATATATTCTTGATCAGGGCGACGAGCTGAGTTGATTTAGTCTGTCTGTCTGTCCATCCGTATGAACGCCTAGATCTCAGAAGTTATAAGAGCTAGAGAGCTGAAATTTCGCATGTAGACTCGTGTATACCATATGCAGTATAAGAGTTGCATATTTTAACAAATCCGATCACTTTTTATTGAGAATAATCGGAAAATTGAGTTTGAATTTTCAGCCTAATTTGAACACTTTTAAACCTAGAGACTTCAGATTTACTGTGTATATACAGTTGATCGATACGAAGATTTTTTAATCTACAGATTTTGGATACCACGCCTCCTTTGTAAAAAACGCATTTCAAGTACTAAAGTCTTGTGCTTTGGAATGTACACACATTTTAGATATATTTTAAATTTTTCATATAGATTTTAGATTTTTCATATAGATAGTCCATCTACAAAAGAAACTATTCAACATTTAAATTCTCTTGTTATGGCCCACACTGCAGCCCAAGCGTAGTCTGCAAACAGCAGAACGGAGGATTATACGTGAAAAAAGTGCAGAATGAGTAGGTTCAGGGTATCTCCTAGTCGAGCAGTCTCGACTAGAGCCTTCTTACTTGTTTTTGTGTTGGTTTTTGCTATTATGCTACACTTGGTGATGTCCGTCCGTTGATTGTTTATCACAAAAACTGTACAAAATCAAATAAGCAACACCATGCCGACAACTTTTATGCAGTGGAAAAAAGTTAAAGTTGAGCAGAGGCAAAGGAGTTGAGCAAACCGGCAGCCAACAAATACATATTGCTAGCACAAACTGCAAGCCATCAAAAGCCGGAAACTGAATTTTGTGGCAGAAGTTAAGCCAACGCAAAACTTGTCGATTGTGCGTTGGCTGCTGCGGCGGCATCAAAACTTTTTACTTCTTAGATTTTTTATTGCGAAATTTCTGCCAACATCTGATTTAGCTGAGGACTTATAGCCTGGCTACCACATCTTCCCTCGGTCGTCTATGCGGCATTAAAAGGTACTGCAGCCAAAATGTATTCCCGTTTGAACCAGATTATCGTTTGGGTTCTGATTGTATTGTTCATCTCAGAAACTTGGACAAGCCAGAAAAAGTCTAATACAATAATAGCTGACACGCAATGTTCGGCTGATAAGTTGTTTATACGATCCCGATCCATTTTTGAGTGGTAATAGGAGCTGAGCTCTAAAAATGCTCTTCAATGAACAATTTAGATTATTTTATAACCTATTCCGTTGTGCAGAAAGTAAATCTATTGAATACTTGGGAACATGGTAATGAATCAAGAGATTTTTAGCAAAATAGATATTACAATAGTAGAGGTTTTTTTTCTTTAGTATTTCTATCTTCATCTCGCTACTATCCGGTTATTAGCTTGGCGCTCTTTCATGGTTATTTACTAAGAATTTCATATTGGCTTGCAGACACTTTCACTTGGTTAGATCTATAAGCAAATCAATTCATGTAATGGGCTCTCGTCTGCTAAAAACATTTTGGCTTTTTCTTGACATTTTGTGTGTGACTCTGCTCTCTGATGGTAGTTAACAATTTTGTGCTGCAGAAGTTTGTTTATAAATCAACTTTTTGTGGTGCAGAAGCGAACTTTTCCATTTGAGAGGCAGAGTGCATATATTTTTGCATAATGCTCCCCAGTCCAGTTAGTGGACCCAATGCTGTTTTCGCTGTTGAATAGAAAAAGTCCTCTACTATTTACATTCGTTTGCACATTATTGGGATAACAGATTGGACCACTGGGAGCTGGGAATTGTGGCATCAGTTGATGCATCGTCTGCAATATGTTTTTTATGACACATCGTTGGTAATTGTTATGGTTCATTTTTCACTAACGATCTATGTGGGAAGAACACTCTACCATTTGCACTTTCATTTTTTGAGTCAAACGTCACGTCAAACGAAGAATTCTTGAGGGCTACCTTAAAAAAAAAAAAAAAAATTTGGTTTGAAGAAGGACGTTTAAAAAAAAAAAGTACTACAGAAATATTTTGTTGTTGTTTATTACAACTTTGTTTTGTTGAAATTGATAGGATGAAGCGAGGTGAGGGCACTTAATGGCATTAATGGCATTAATGATGAAATGTATTTATTATATTCAATATTGCAAGGAACTACAGTAGAAAATGAAATTTGACAACATAATTTGGCCAATTAGCGAACGCACATGGCAAACAATGCTGAGCAGCGAAAAGCGAGTGTTTCATGGGTGTGTACACATATACATACATATGTATGTGTGTACATGCAGCATGCAAGCGTTTTCTCATGCATGTGCACACACACACATTCGTGCATACGTGCATTCTATTCTGAGAATCACAATCGCGACTTAAGTGTATTTGAATCATCACCTTAGAGTTAATGAGCTCGAATCTTGTCGATGTTGTGAGATTCGAAGCTCAAAAGTTTATAAGCTTTTCGTATACTTAAAATCCCATATAGCTTGGGGCTTAGAGGATCTACTAGTGGGGTACATCGATTAAAGTTTTCTTGCTAGTCTATAAACTGGTATACGCTGCATCTCGATTAAGTTTGAAATAAAAATTATCCTTAACAAGTAAGAAAGCTGTAGTCGAGACTGCTCGACTATGAGATCCCCTGAACCCTTCGAGCAACTGATATTTAAGTGATTCTTTGCGTATTTCTGCTTACACACACACTAATAGACACATATAGGCAAAAAAGAAAAGTATGTAACAGGCAGAAGGAATCATTGCAGAATAAAGTATAAAGTATGGAGATTCATATGTACTTTATAGAAATTTGGTTTTTGTTATAATTCACCCCCAACGCGTATTTAAAATACTAGAGACTTGTGCTGACTTGGCAAATGCACGCATTTCATTTTTATAATCACGATCTGATTCATGAAGATAGTATATCCGCAAGAAAAGGTTAGGTTCTCATAGTAAGCAGCCCATCTATGTTTATGCGTGGGTGCCTGTGTGTGTGTGCGCATGTGTGTTTCTTGTGTAAGCAGAAAGACGCGAAAAATGACTGTAGTAACTATTGCTCGAAGGGTTCAGCGGATATCGTAGTCGAGCAGTCTCTGTTATACCCAAAACCTGTTATACCCTAAACCCAACGAAAATGGGAAATAGGGTATAATGGTTTGGTTGAAATGTATCTAACAGGCAGAAGGAGGCGTGGTAGACCCCACAAAGTATATATATTCTTGATCAGGGCGACGAGCTGAGGATTTGGCCCTGTCCATCTGTTCGTATGTATGAACGCGTCGATTTCAGAAGATATAAGAGCTATAGACTTAATTTTTTTTAAATGTCCGTATGTATAGCGCGGATATAGAGATTATTTCTAAAAATCGATAACTCATTCCGTTTTGATCTTGGGTGGTCGACGCGGATCTACATTCAAAATTTCAGCATTCTAGATCTTCAATTCATATGATTTCTGGCATAACGGAAAATGCATTTTCCGATTTCTTACACTTTTTAAATCGGAGATATAGACGAATATGTGTTCCAAATTTTAAGTCTCTAGCTTCAATAGCGCCGAAAAAAATTGCGTTCATACGGACAGACGGAAAGACGGACAGACAAGATGGACATTGCACAAAACCAATATACTAATTCACTTTCGTGAATGAGTATAAAAATATTCGATATTTAGGCAAAAATAACCTTCCGATATAAATATATCTTTGATGTATTGATATTTTGCTATATTTTCGACAGCCCTAGAATGTATGTGTATGTATGTGTGCATAAAAAAAGTGCAGAATGATTAGAAGATCAGCTTGCAGGGTTCTGGGTATCTCTTAGCCTGATGTCAGAGTGGCCGCGATAAGCGATGCGATGCTATAAGCGATAATTATCGCAGCGATCTGCTAAGCGATGGCATGTCAGAGTGAAAGAGAGAAATATTGCTTGAATTGCCAAAAAGAAGATATTTCACCTACTAACCAACGGGTATTTAAGCTCAGCACGCAACGAAATCACACGTATCAGAAAATGCGATAAGGCGAGAAAACGATTCAGGAATGCTTTCTCGCAACTCGCTTTACTTCTCGCTTCGCTTGCACTCTGACAGGTTTTAAGCGATTACATGTAAATCTGCATGTAGAGGTTTTTCGCTTATTGTCGCTCCATACTATCGCTTATCGCGGCCACTCTG